TCCCAATGAAAGATCAACAAAAAAACATCAGAAAAAGAACTAAATGAAACAGAGATAAGCAGTTTATCAGATAAAGAGTTCAAAGTCATAGTCTTAAAGATGCTCACTGAACTTGGGAGAAGAATGGAATAACTCAGGGTGTACTTCAACAAAGGGATAGAAAATATATATAAAAATATCAAAATAGAACAGAAGGAAACAACTGAAGAGAAAAATACATGATGGGGAATCAACAGCCAATTAGAGAATGCAGGATATACCAGTGATCTGGAAGATAGGGTAGTGGCATTCACTTAAATAAAACAGCAGAAAGAAACAGAAATACACACACACATACACATATATGTGTGTGTATATATATATATACATATATATATATTTGAGTATAATTTAAGGGATCTATAGAACAACATCAGGCATATAAATTATTCCATTATAGGTCCCAGAAAAAGAAAAGAGAAAGAGAGAGAAAAACTATATGAAGAATAAATGGCTGAAAATATAGAAAATATATTTTCCTTCCCTGGTGGCACAGGTGGTAAAGGATTTGCCTGCAATGCAGGAGACCTGGGTTCAATCCCTGGGTTTGGAACATCCCCTGGAGAAAGGAATGGCAGTCCACTCCACTATTCTTGCCTGGAGAATTTCATGGACTGAGAAGCCTGGTGGGTTATAGTCCATGAAGTCACAAAGAGTGAAACATGATTGAGTGAATAATACTTTCACTTTCATTATATTTTCCAGATATAAAATAAATGTCATTGTTGCAAAATATAACAGGGGATATAATCATAAATATTTTAATACCTTTGTATGGTGACAGATGGCTATTAACCTTATCATGGTGACCAACTTATAATGTACTCTACTAATGCCAAAACACTATGTCATACCCCTAAAACTAACAATATAGTGAACTATGCTTTTAAAAAAATGAGTTTAGAGAAACAAAAACTTTGGTCTGCGAGAGGGCATAGAGAAGGACAGCAAACCCACTGGATGGGAGAAGGTGTGCATACTAGAGAGGAAACTCACATTTTCTTCATATTTACAAACAATTTAATCTATAAAGTGGGGGAGGACCGTAAAACAAAGTAACTAAGAAAACTGTCTATCTACCTATCTATCCATCCATCCATCTATCCATCTTTCTATCTATCATTTACTTAACAACACTTACACTGTGCTTACTATTTGCCAGGTATCTTCTGTGCTTTTAAGAGACTAATGCATTTAACTTTGCAAGGATTCCAATTTATAGATGAAACAACTAACATAATGGTCATGCTGTCAGGATATGACAAAGCTAGAATATGAACTAGTCTGGTTCTAGAAGCTTGCTCTTGATTACTATGTTTCCTAAGCGGATTGCTATGAAAGTTTTTTTTTTTTTTTGCATTTACATTTTGTCACTTAACAATATAGTCCTATTATTTAATGAACTGTATTTTTTAGTAAAAAGACTTCAACATTTATACTAATCTCAGACATATTTAGGATCTCTGGGACACATGCAAACAATTCCACTGAAAGTGCTCTAAATAAAATTATAGCTGACCTTCCTCCAGGTTGCCAAATCAATGAATACCTTCATGCCTTGATCTTTCTTGACTTCTCTGCAAGAGTTAACACTACTGAGCACTGTCATCTTGAAACTCTTCTCTTACTTTTTTTGACTGTGCTCTTTTAGTTCTGAAATCTCTTGGCCATCCTCTTCTCAGCATCTTTCTTTGCCTTTCTGGTTTATATTAGTTTTCTCCAAGGTTCTGTGCTTGTCCTTTTCTAATTTTATATAACAGTCTTAGGAAATCTTATTTATCTTCTTTTTCTTCAATCTACAATTGAATGACTATAAAAACTGTAGTTCCAGACCAAATTCTTTTTGCCTGTATAACCCTGAATACTCAACCATGTTCTAGAGGTACCTCAAATTCCACATATCCAAACTTTAATTTTTTGATTTATCCTTTAATTCAGATGCCAGTAAGCGTTGGCCTACAGATTAATACTACCCTTTGGGTTACTATTTTTTAATTGGAGGAAAAACACCAAAAAAATAAAGAATAAAATTTTATAACACATGAAAATTAAAAAAAAATTTCAATTTCAGTGTCCATAAATAAAATGTTATTGAAACACAGTGATGGTCATTCACTTTTCATTTGACTGCTATTACACTATCTCAGCAGAACCAAGTAGGTCAGCAAAGACCATATAACCTGCAGGACCTCAGACACTTACTATAGGGCCTTCCACAGAAAAAGTTCTGCTCACCCCTCCCTTATGTGGCCACTGTGTCACACGTTGATGGTGAAGACAATTATAGAAACTAGAAAACTAAAGACATCTCAAATTTTCCTTTTCTTGCCAAACTCCCCTACTCTACACATCTCTATCACTTTTTTTTTTTTTTCCTTTAAACTGACTTTGTATATGGCAACTCCAGGCTTCCCAGGTGTTGTTAGTTGTAAAGAACCAATGCAGGAAATGTAAGAGACATGGGTTCCATCCCTGGGTTGGGAAGATTCCCTGGAGAAGGGTATTCCAACCTATTCCAATATCCTTGCCTGGAGAATCCCACGGACAGAGGAGTCTGGAGAGCTACAGCCCATAGGGTTGTATAGAGTTGGATGTGACTGGAAGCAACCTTAGTACACATGCGCATATATCAGTTCCACCATTCTCTCTGTCCTGGTGTCAGCTGTCTCCTGATCTACTGAAAAAGCTAGGCACTACACCCTACTAGACTCCTACCTACAGTTGTGTCTCTCTCGTCTACCCCTCATATAGATGAAGTCAAGTTTCAGCATGTACTTCTGTTATTTTCCCTTCATTGACCAAATAGTTTCAATGTTTTTCTCTTTTGTTCAGGGCAGTGGTTCTTAAGACAGCATCAGCATTCCATGGGAATTTGTTAAAAATAAAAAATTTTAGGTCATACCATAGACCTATTGAATCAGAATATCTTGGATAGAGGCCATAAATTTGTGATTTAATGATCCCTCCAGTAAATTTAGTGCACATTTAGGTTTGACATCACTTGAACACTTATCCAGTTATTCTTAAGGATGAAAATTGAAATTTCTTTGTAAGGGGACCTTTTAAGTCCCATTATGGTTTGATTCCAACCCAATCTTGTATACCATGCATTCCTTCCTTACTTCTAGCTGCTCCAGCCTACAAATGAAGAAATAAGAACCCAGGAATTAATTAATTTGCCTTAGGTAACAAGATCAGTGAGTGACAAAGGAAGAAACTGAATTAGGCTAAGCCCAAGGACTTTTTTAGGACCACTCCATTCTACCTTTTAAAATATATTTACTATAATTTTAGTTTCAAAATAATTATAATTATTTAATTGACCCCAGTTATTAATTTAGCCTGTTCTCTTTCCAGACTATAAACTACAAGAAGGTAAAAATTGATTTGTCCCATGTGAAGTGAAAGTCACTCAGTTGTGTCTGACTCTTTGCAACCCCATGGGCTATACGGTCCATGGAATTCTCCAGGCCAGAGTACTGGAGTGATCCCCTTTCACTTCTCCAGGGAATCTTCCCAACCCAGGAATTGAACCTAGATCTCCAGCATCCCAGGCTGATTCTTTACCAGCTGAGCCACAAAGAAAGCTCAAGAATACTGGAGTGGAGAAAAGGGAACCCTCTTACACTGTTGGTGGGAATGCAAATTAGTACAGCCACTATGGAAAACAGTGTGGAGATTTCTTAAAAAGCTGGAAATAGAACTGCCATATGACCCAGCAATCCCACTTCTGGGCATACACACCAAGG